TGTTTGTATGCAGGAGCCATCCCTGCTGCCATGGACAAGGCTTGAAATTGCACTCATACTAAACAGCAGTTACCAAACGATCGACTGCAAGTTATCCTCAGCCACCAAAGTACTTAAAGTGCTGACATTCGTCCTAGCTCACATGCCAAACCGGTATATGTAAACATCCATTTAACTTGCTGGTCAGGCTCCACTCAATCTTAAGATCTAAACTGTATGTCATTATCTTTAGAAAAACTGTTTCTACAAAAAGACGGTGACTAGTGATGTCATTTTAAGCACATTTAATGGAACAATCGGAGCACTTGGCATGCAAAACAGAATTCAATGATTTTTGTAAACACGGTCCTTGAGAACATTATTTCAGAAACCCTTTCTTCAGTTGACCCTCTATTTGGAGCACTTAAAGAATCTCATGAGGTGAGCAAAACTTCCAATACTGCTCCAGTTAGAACATACCTTAAACTCTTTTAAATAGGAGATGACAGTCTTATCTACAGCAGATCAGCTGCCATACTATACACAGATTTAGCTTCACCTTGGATAAATGAGTTAAGCAGACATAACTGTTAAACCTTGAAAGAAACTAATGTCAACAAAAAATATAAGGCAATTTTATCTTGTGCAGAATGAGTACATGGGGAAAAAAACCTAAATGCACAAATAAAAAGTACTTCCCACCCAGAAATATTTGGCAGACACCTTAACATTCCTCCTTCTCCTTTGAGTTCCTATCACAGACAGGGGCACTGTCAGCCACATCTGGCTTTGATGATATGAACCTTCTAGAAATTCTGTCTTTGTCCTTATAGCTTCATGGAACTTCACTAATTTCCCTTTCTTCCTCCAGGACTGAAAGCAAACTGCTACAAGCCAGAATGAGGAAACAACAGCAAAAAGAACTGGTCCCAAGAACTGCACCATTTCAGGAGATGCTCTGAATACAAATTCAGAGAAATAAAACTTTGTAAAATGATGTACTTAAGACAAAAAAGTCATCCATGGAACAAGTCAACATTTGACCATAACGGAGAACTGCTCTGTCAACAAGTCGAAACTGAACTTGTCTCAGTATCATTCCTATATTCAGGATCTTTTTGATCTGGTCAAATAATAATTTGAAATATTAAATAGACATCCTGAATGAAGAGCAAAAAAATCTTCCGCCTTTAGCACCTGAACACAACTAATCTTATTACTCTTCTTTCAGTTTATGCTCCCCAACTCAACACTTTCTATGCAAGGCTAAACAAGACTACTCGTGTTCACCGCAGCCCAGTACACTTACTGCCTTAACCTCACACAATCGCTACCACTGAGACTAAAAAAGTTGTCAATTTTGACTTCAATTTCCTCATAAGAGAGTCTGTTACTTTCACAGTTCAAGAGCTTAACCAGCCATGCTGTGATGAAAAGTGTGCCTTTAAAATAAATCCTACTTTACAAAATACTCTATGAAAGCCTCAAAAATGTTTTGCAACTCTTTTCTACACCAAGATCAGTTTTACAAACATCACTTTACACCTTTCTGGAACACTGAAAGCATTACTTGAACAGCAACGTTTTTCAGTATATTCATCTACAATCAAGAACAGTGCTGATCTGTACTTCAACTCTCCAGACGAAGTCTAGATTCTGCCTCCTAAACGCGTAAAGATGTGTTTGACTTTATGGAGAAAAGGGTACTGGGGTGACACAGAACACACTTCACATTGGTTAAGTGCCTAGGTTACGAAGATATTGAGACAGATCTATACGGTTTCTGTGTCATTATTTCTGTCTCCCCTACCCTGCAAGTTTCATCTGTAAGGATTTTACACGTACTCTCAGATTACTGATCTTAATGGAGTGTGAAATCTAATACTGTTTTAGCAGAACTCCAGAAGACAATAGACCAGCTACCTCTGAGATCTGCAGGTGAGCCAGTCTTGAGACATTTAAAGTCTAATAAAGACATTAAAGTTTAATAAATGTGTATCTACACAAGTAGATTACCAAATTTGTAATGTCAATGACTGAGAGGTTTGACAAAACCTATTGTCTAAGCCAGACATGTTGACTAAAATGTAATTATACTTCTTCCTTGTGAACAGAACTCCAATTCTGCCTGTGACTGATGTCAGGCAACCTGGCTTACAGTTATCCAGGTTACCTCAGGTTATACCTTTTTTAATATTGGCATGAAACATGAACATTGTTTCCATCTTCTGAAATCTCCCTGATACCAGGGTGGTTTTTTGTTTTTAAAATCAACAGATGAGTTCTCCCCCTTACAGGGACTGTGAGACAAGTCCCATTTCAAAATGCTTCCTTCCTAATAAATGTTTTTAAAACATCCTCTTTTGTTACTAAGAGACTGAAAAGCAGTTCACACAACATAATCATATACCTTTGCTCCTTTCAGGATCCAAGAAGGAATTTTTTGTTGAACACTTATTTCTGCACCATTAACAACAATTTTATCTTTATCCAGTAACGGACTTATACAAATCAGATTCATTTGGTTCCCAAATATATGTACACTTCTTTTTATTTTGGGGTCTGACAACACAGAATCTTCCCTAGTATCTCCAGGTTCCACTAACTCTATGTCTTAACTAATCTGTACTAACTAACTGCTATCCATCTTATTGCCCATATAAAATTACTTCATGTTCAGTGGCAAGTAAAGTCAGTAGCCAGTACAGACCCTCATTCTGCCTTAGACCACTGCAATTACTCCTCATCTGAAGCCTCTTAAACTCAAAACAGTTCACACTTGCATGCTTCCACCTAAAACATCTTCCCTTTATCTAACTTCATTTGGCTTTGTAAATGCATCTTCCTGACAAGAAAATCAAATCATTCCGCATCTTGTTGATACTGCTTTCCAGAATCCAAAAGAACTACAAAGTATTTCTGCCACGCAAAAATCAATGGCAAGACTCAAGCTACTAAGCCTACTGAACCTGAACCACATAGTGGTAGCAGTACCTAGAGCACACTTTCCAGTTCTTAAGATTACAGTAGGTCCTATCACTTTACATTCAACAGTAATAGACACATAGACTGTATCATGAGGCTCAAAGACAGGCCACAACACAGGCCCCAAAACATCATGAATCAAAATGGATGTAACACTTCAAAGTTTCTCTACAGAAGCTAAACCAGACTTCAATTTCATGCTAACTAGCTAAATTCAAACTAGCTCCAGGCAGAGCCACTCCAGTGCCCCGAACAGTTATCAACCATGGACACATGGACTGGAGAACTCTAGACAAAAAACAGAGGATGGTGGCTTACCAATGCAAGTTTTAAATGATTCAATAAGACAATACAGGAATATTGTTAGACACATTTATGCATAATCATACCTGTACATATGAACATTATGTGCATGACTTTAATAAAAATTTGTTTTTACCTTTGTAGCACTGGCTGATACTAGACCCGTTGGGTCTAGAGCCAACTGCCAAACATGAGTGGTCCCTGGAGTTCGCAACGTCTGAAAACGGTCATCCTGCCCTCTTCCTGCCTTCCCCCCCCCAATCCCATAATTGTTAGAACAAGCTATTTAGAACAATACATAACAACTACTGTAGCAAGGACACCATTTATTTCGATAATTACACGGGTAAGTATTTGCTCTTCATTAAAGGTTAAAGACCAACCTGATTTAGCATCCTGGTAAGAAAACAAAATCTGTCGAAACAGTTGGACAGCAGTGCTCTTTTCTGTTGCCACTAGTTCATTCACCCACTTGCAACAGTTGACTAATCAATTCTCACATTCACCTGCCAGACAAGTCCAAACTAGAACTTCTAACTAAAACCAGGCAGGTTTCAAAGTCACAACTGTTAATTTTCCCTACCTGTACTTTAACTCACAGCAATACTCCAAACAAAGGACAAATGTAAAGGCCAGAGTATCTGCTTTTACAGTGACAGGCATTGCTTTGGGTTTCTAAGGGAGGAGATGACCTGCCAGAAGATATTTTAATCAAATGTCTTTTAAAACTCAACTAAGAGGCAACAGATCTTTATGACTGGCAAATCTACTCAAGAAGCCTGTATGCCTCTAGCATCACAAGTTACTTGTATCATTTTTTCCCCCTTGACATAGTTCAGACTGTATGCTTAGATCAACGGATGCGGAACAGTTCAGCATCTTTAAAGGGTATTTCTTCATGAGGAGTGACTGCAAGAATGAGTCAGAAAAAACATTTTCACTAGCTGCATTTCTCCCCCTACTAAAAATACTAATCTTAGGTTGACCCAGTCAAGTAAACTTTCACAATGCCTATGGGTTTCTTTTACCTCTTCTCCATCTCAGTCCACTTATAGGGACACTCAAAAGAGCTTCAAAGCAACAGATTAGGACTGAAAAAAAAGAACCAACCCAGGTTATTTCAAGCAAAGGATTTAAGACTTCCAGAAAAATCCTCACTTCCTGATGTAGTTTACCTTAAGTGCTTTTGTACAATCCTCTTTTGCAAGGCACTGAGTCCATTTCTGAGACGTAACTCCCTGTATTTGTGATACGGAAAGACTACAACCTAATACTCAAAGCTATTCATAAAAAACAAAACCCAAACTTTTTTTTTTAAATTACTACTGATAGCCAAGTAGCAGAACCAAAGTGTTATTCTTCAGGTAAGTTGTACAGTAGACATCCAGAAGGGCACAGAACCACATTTTCAATAAAAACATGGATACTACCAGGTACCCAGAACTTTTGAGTTCTCATTAGTACAAACCTAGGGTTCATGCTCTAGGTTTCCATTTTAGAAGTACATGAGTAAGATAAGAATTTTCATTTTAGAGAGGGCTTGCATAGCATATGCATATTACATATACATACAATGACTAAGGACCTGAAGTGTATGGCAGGTAGAAAACCTCAGGTCATTCAAATGATAAACTAGAAAAAGAAACCAAACATTTCAGTCTACACAAGCCACTTAAAGTAGTTTCTGTGTGGAACAATGGATGGAAATTAAAAAAAAAAAGGGAAGAAAGTACCTCCTGTCCAGTAAGAAAGAGTAAGAGATCTCCTTCCTCTTCTTCACACATGTGAATTTGGATCACGGTTCGAATGGCAGCCTCAAGGTAATCCCTTTCTGGTTCTGGAGTATAGAATATCTCCACAGGATGCGTGCGACCCGGGATAGTTAGAAGAGGACAATTATCAAAATAGATCTGAAACTTGCCAGCATCTAAAGTAGCACTCATAACTATAACCTGTAGGTTTGGAGGACAAAAAACAAGATACCCCAAAGGTTAATAAGAACTTAGGAAGTGTTATGCATACAATATGTAATAGTAAGAAACCAACCTTAAGAGTTGACTGTGATTTAAGCATGCTTTTATCACCTGAATACAGTACCCTTGTTACAAAGGTCCAAAAAAAATTCTTAGTCAAATATGGAAAGGTTAAGTTACAATTATGTTGTTTCGAGTATTTTCCTCAATACAAACTGCATTAAGAATTTCCTAGGGTTATCTTTCCAATACAGATTATCATTAGATAAAAAAAACAGTTGCTCTACTTTAGTTGATTATAAAAATCAGCTAGTGGTAAGCACACAGATATCTTATTTGGTATGCCTACAACTAGAAAGGAGATGCTGTTGGGCTTCATCATTACTGACCTTCAAATCAGATCTTTGTCTTACAACTTCCTTCAAAACTCCCATCAAAATATCAGTAGCCAGTGTCCTCTCATGGGCCTCATCAAGAATTATAACACCATAGCGCTCCAGCAAAGGATCATTCATTGCTTCACGAAGTAACATACCATCAGTCATATACCTGAGCACAAACACAATTTCAACACAAATTTTATTTACTAAGTCTGATACAGAATCCTCTTCCATATCATTCCCTAGGTTGCTTGAACTAAGCTTTTAATCAACTTTTTAAAACCAGAAACATCAGTAAACTATTTCCAACAAGTTAACAAGACCATTTTAAGTTTTCAAGTAGAAACTACTGTAGAGTATAAGTGAAATCTGGGAGTAGGGGGAGAAGCTTAAAAAAAAAAAAGGGGGGGGGGGGGGAACAAGGTTTAACAACATTTATAACTAGTTTGTTGGCTATCACTGGGAGACTACTTCCAGGTCTACAGAGACAGGAAAAGAAAGGGAAAAACATCCTCTGCAATCCTAGAAATACTATTTCTGCAATTGTTTCTCCCCTCTTCTGTTTGCAGATCATCTGTTCACTTTTTGCTTTTCCGTCTCATTTAAATTTCTTTTTACACATTAACTTTATTCCCAGCCTTCAACTACTTGTAAGAGCAAGAGTAGACATCTTTTAAAGGAAAAGCACTATTCCTTGAACCACACTATGTGGAATACTTTTTAACCAAGCATTCTGAATGTCATCTGCAGATGACATATTAACTGGGCCTAGGTCCACCTACACAGCACAGGAATCTACAACAGTTGACAACTAAAACACTATGGATTATGTGTTCTACAGTTAGGTATAGCTCAATTTTGAAACTTTATGGTAGTTCTGCTTACTGAAGTAAGCTACTGAACTTCACCAGGTTTACCCTGAGTAGGAAGATACCACAGACAAAGGTCCACTCAACGCGTAACATGAAGAGAAACTGAATGCTGAAGGTCTTTATCAGCACTTTAATCAAAAATACTTCTTCAGATGACCCTGTTCTTTATGGATCACTTAAAATTAATTTCCACAGGGTGCAGCAATTTCTTTGGGATGAATGACTCATTTTCAGTTCCACTCAAGCCCCACATCTCAGGTTTCTCTCAGCTCATTCTATGCTTCCTGTCTTTCTCCACTCAGACACAGAGTGCCTGTCCATAGATTCACTTGCCTCCTCATTACTTCTTTCATAACTCCGCTTACATCCTTCACCACCCTGCTATTCCCCCATCTCCAAGTAGGTTGTGTTATACCTTTACCTGACAGTTGTCATACTTACTTCAAAATGGTTTTTGCACTACTGCAGTCTTCAAATCGAATAGAATAACCAACCTCCTGGCCCAGCATGACATCCATCTCATCAGCAACCCGCTGTGCAACACTCATTGCAGCTACTCTCCTAGGCTGGGTACATGCTACTCCCCTCTTTGGTCCAGGTAATGAGCGCATGTAGTCAACGCACCATTGAGGGATCTGTCAAGAATAAAACTCAGTTTAAACACACTTCTTCAAACAGCCAGATGTAATCTGTAACCTTTGTATTGTTTCAAATAAAGTTAGTTACTATTCCACTGAGATGTCAACTGTATGCACAAAAATATCCAAAGCACAAGAGCAGATAGACTAGTTAGTTGGATCCAATGCCACTAAATAAAGCACACTCACATTATGCATGTACGTAACTATCTTTCAAGTTATCAAGGAAATACATAGGTTCACAGTACGTTTAAGCACTGTTAGATCACTACCTTATACAGATACTTAGCAGCAGCCAACATGCTCCAAAGCAACCAAAATTAAATACCCAGAATTTTGAAATCCGTAGCACAGTTCATGGTTTTAAGTTTTACAGCAAGCAAGTTATATTTTGGGGCTTTAAAAAGCAATGCTTATTAGTACATTAAGCAAAAAGAATTATTTTAGTGATATAAAAATTGTCTTAGCCAGGAATCATGACAAAAAAATAACAAATTAGTTATGTTAATTTCGTTAATTATTGTTCTTTTGAACTTCCATCAACCAGATATAAAACCCCTATGGTTTTCCTTCCTATGTTAGCACTCAGTTTATTTGTCAGTGAGTAGTTTTCGGCTCCTGCTAGGAATTTGGAAATAGTAAGAATCATCCAAAATAAGAAGCTTTATTCAGAAGACTTTCTAAGGTCAGTACAGTTTGATGAAGACAGAATATTCTTAACACATTCTCAGTGTGACGTTTTATGAGGAGACATCCCCAGGCACAACTAGTTCCAAGTCTACAAAAAAAATCTATTCCTCCTTTCCACTGGCTTTAAGTATTCTTAAATGCTCACATTTACAGAGGGGATAAAAAAAAACCTACACATTTACACATAGCACCAATACCTAACAGGAAAAGCAGTGTAATTTAAACCAGGAACATTTTTCTTCTAGAATACTGTACTTCCACAGTAAGATGGGCATAAGTGAACACTAAAACATACCCACAAGCAAACAAGTGTAGGCTGTCACGAAAAACTTTGTTTTTAAAATGAAGAACATACTTCCATTATAAATACAAAAAAAAGAAAGCAAAGATTACCAAAATATGACAGGAGACTACTAGACTGCCGAGAAGAACTCAAATTTTTGAAAACCCTATTCAAAACTAAAAATAATAGCAGTTCTTGAACATTAATAGCATGAACCTGAAACCCTATCCTGTAACGTATATACAGACCCTTAACAGGCAGTGTAGAGAAGGGAATTTGCTTCCCAAGTCACTTATAAAAACTCAACTCTAAGCATATTACATGAAGCTTCTTAACTTTCAACAGAGTAAGTCCTGAAATAAACTTTAAAACAACAGGTCTGTTGGGCCACAGTAGCATGAAATAAAAATAATTTAGAAGTGGTTTTCCAGTAAACAGCAAAACTTACAGCATTGGTGTCAAATGACTTCAATGTGTTCAGCTGATTTAGATGACCACCAGACTACTTTTCATGTCCAGCTTTAAGAGACATACAAACACTAGGAAAAAGGACTGTGCTATACATTTTCTACTTCAGTCATGACTAGGAATATACTGAGCACCTCTTATCATCTGGTTCTTATAAAACCTAACATGAAGTTAACTCTACTCCACTAACACAAGAAAGCTACAAATCACCAAAACCCTTGACTTTCCTTAAAAAAAGCCATTTTACCAATATTAAAAAGCATGAGGAATAGCTTTAGCTAGCACACTGTAATCTCAAGGACTTTCTCAATTAAGAGAGATTTTCAAATATAACCTCCATAAACTTGAGGAGGTAGGGACTACACATACAGTGGCCTCTAAGATCAGAGAAATGCACTGATGGCTGTTGCAGACTATTCCAAAGTCAAAGGAAAGTCATGCTTTCAAAGGGATGCAGAGCAAGAGGGAAGCGCACTGTCCTTCACGCTTTTCTGAGCCACTTCAATTTATTGAAAACTTTCTCTGTTGAAAGTTATATGGTAGAATTGTCAGAATTTGGGTTTAAGTCTCTGTGGAACAAGTGGCATCTCCTGTTGTTAAAGCCAAGCATTTCCAAACCTGGGTGCTCTACAAGACTAAAGGGAAAACACGTACATAATAATCAGGGAAGGGACTTGACAGGCAGCAGCTCACTCCCAAAAAGATTAACTGCTACCACACAGCCTTCTACTATCACCATGAAAGGGGAGATAATAATTTTGGAAGAACAATTCATTATACATTTTAAATAATGCCAACTTGATACCAATAAAAGCAAGCATAAATAGTTCATGTACACCTTCAGTTTGAGCATTAGAGGGTTTCTTAATCACAGATAACCATTTATCTTGCTCTGATCAATGAATATAAGAAGAGAAACAACCATCCACAGATTGGTTTTAAGACAGCACTTGATCACAAAAAGGACATGACATTATCACATGCAAAACAAGGTTTTCATTAAGTGACAGCAGGATCATTGTCAGTGGTATGTTCCTACAGCAACACTCTCAATTGTTTCAACACACATCTGCAATCTCACAGGGAGAATTCAGAGAAAGCAGTGAAGCTTCCACAATAGTTTATGTGCTTTTGGTAGCTTAAAACCAATTTTTGGGAAAGATGCCTTAGGTTTCTTAAGTCATTTCAGAAAGTAAGGGGTAAAGTAGTAAGACAATCCAGGAAAAGCTTTATGCCTGCGCAATGACACAATAGTAAGATGTATTTGAAGTTTAAGTCATAGTTACTAAGAACACAGACCCTTTAGATCTTCAAATTCTCAGATCATGCAACAAGAAAAAAAAAAAAAAAATCTGTTTTCACACAGGTAAGTACCAAATTTTTTTTTTTAACATGAATGTTCAGAATACTATCTCTTCCAATTAACTATATAATCAAACTTTTCTGAAGAATTCCATAAAATCCTATCTCAGTTTATACACGTTAAAAACCCAATACAGATAATGCCATAAAATACCTTCCAAACAAGATAATGGTTCCTAAAATTTGCAGCAAGAAGGGTATATAACTTCAAAATATTTCAGGCATAGCTATAAAAGGCATCCAATGTACTACTATGTCCTTCACATTTTCAACATCCAAATTTTATTTTATGACTAAAAATTTATTTCTGTAAAACCTACTGTAAGTTAGCTGTAATCTATTTTATAAAGACTAAAAGATTTATTTATTTATTTTATAAAGACTAAAATGTTACTTCTGTAACATTTTTCCTACTTTCCAGCTGCTATCTACACAAACAGCTAAATAAACTATTTGGAACCATCACCTCAGTTTGTAGGTTAGTACACTTCTTTCTAGCCATTAAAATATCTTTATCTTTATTTACCAAAGACATAGCTACCAATCATAAAGCCTAATAGAAGAAGGGGCCAGAGAACAGGACTGCATTGTGAAATGGGGAGATGCTGAAAGATTGCTCTAACTTTAGTATTCATTAAGTAAATAAAACATTCATCAAATTAGTTTTACTCACAATTTGTGAGGTGTTCCTACACAAAGGATTTCAAGAAACCAAAGCAAGTTTCACCCCTCCACATCTAGCAACAGTTTCAACCTTTAAAAAACTGCAGTATCATAGATAAGAACTCACCTGTGTTGTTTTACCAGATCCAGTCTCACCGACCAGCACAAATGACTGATGCCTAATCAAAATATCTGTAAATCTTTCTTTATATTCCCAGACAGGAAGTTGTAGCCTTTTTTTCAGGATGTCGTAATATCGTGGTGTATGTGGTAGATTTGTGAAAGGGTTGATACTGTGTGGAATCATTGCTGGTTTTATAGTTGGTAACCCAGCAGCCGCATAATATGCAGAGTTAGATGAAGATCGCAAATCTTTTTCCTTGTCCCTTTCTCTGTCGCGATCTCTATCTCTGTCACGATCCCTGTCACGATCTTTAGAACGGTCATCACGGTCCCTGTCCCGGTCACGATCTTTCCTAAAATGAGTTAAGAGACATAGCAGAAAATGAGATACTTGCATATTTAAATGCAGAGTAGGAATTTAAATACAACACAACTTTAAAGGTATCTAATACAAAGTGGATATAAACTAAATCTTTTAGAAAGCCTTGCAAACAGCTACCTGGAAGGATAAGCATCAAAGAGTATGAGTACACAATGCATACTGAATATTAAATATACAGGTACACTCATTGTACATAAAGCACTGCCACAGTTCCTCTCATTACAGGTAATACTGAAGCAAGCTATCAAACGAGTAAAGCATCATCTTAACCCTGTTCATTTAATGACTATAAAGAATCAGCTGTACGTTCCAGACATTTCTCACAATTCTTCCCATCCCTACTTGCTGCTGTAGAAAAATAGGAGAAGACTAAATAGTCTTCTTGCCTACCTAGCAAGGGAATTATGGCAACTCACAAAAATCAACTCAAGATAAGTGAGCCCTGGAAGAAAAGTTTGATTTTAACATCCCACAATTACTTTGTAGTTTTTTTTGTTCAAAGTCTTCCATACAGTTCGGACTCAACTTTGATATACAGGTTGTTCAGTCTGAAGTTTAGACTCTAAACCAGCCACTACAGCTTACAGAATCATAGAGTCATTTAGGTTGGAAAAGATCCTTAAAATCATCGAGTCCAACCATTAACCTAACATTACGAAGTTGTACCATCTTCTCCAGTATCGCCTCCTACCACACAGTTAAAACCACCAGCATTTATGTATTCCCACTTGTTCCAAAAGTAAAAAAAAAGTTCATTGCACTTGCAAAAGAAAAACAGTATTATTTTCACCATAGTGATCCACTCAAATTTCAATCTCTGGCCTCAGTCTTGGCAGTTTCTGATTTCGCAAATCCATGTACTTATTCTTGCACGTAATCTCACTCTCCCTAAAAACACTTAAACACTTGCAAAGAAATCCCCAGTTTGACCCAACAAACTATAGCTACATGCTTTTAATAAAAATCTCAAACTGACCCTAATTTAGCACTTTGAAACAAGCCCCATTTTAAAGAAACACCCCATCACATTTTAAACTAATGTAAATCAAAAGATTAGTGGCATCTTTGCCTGCAAAACTGAGGATATCCTCAGCTTCAGCTTCTTTTGTGCATTATGTTAACTGAAATCCTATCAAAAAGACAAAACAAACTAAGTCAACACCAGCTTTATACTAAATGCATACATAAACATTTTTAGGAATGGTCATTAAGGGAAAACAAAACCTTCCCCACTTCTTTACCAGCACTTAGGCATGCCTGAAAGAAAAGAGAGCATTGCTAAAGAAAACTGTTGGCCAACACTCTTCTCCACAGCTTTTTGTTTTTTAAAAAACACATAGCTGGCATCCAAATGTAACTGGTGAAGTAATAAGCAAATTCTTAGCTACAGAGAAGATGAAGTAACCAAGATTATGTTAGTACTGATTCTACAAATTTTAATTCAAAATGTGCTGCACACTGCAAACAACCACCACTCCTGTTCTTGTATGAATGAACATAATCTATGCAGGCTGTATTTTTCACTCCCCCTCAAAACCTCAACATATTATGGTTTCAGAGCTTGTCGCAGTAAGGTTTGGTGTTTTTTTTTTTTAAGAAGACTTCTTTTAACACAGACTCATTGAAAATAAAGAAGGATTACAAAACATACTGTTTACTGTCACTTACCTAAATCACTTGTATATAGATTTTCCTAAGGCTTTGGGCACTGAACTGTCTGAAAATTAAGCCCCTTTTAGATCATTTGCTTGAATCTGAGCTATGATAACTTCATCATTACTTTTAACACAGTCAGATACTGTGCAGGCTAGAAATCTCTTCTTCCTGTGAAGTGGCAGACAAGTATTGCAGAATGCAATAGGTTCGTATTCTCTGGTATGGAAAAGTTAACCCTGTTACAAACTGAAGGAACTAGGCTCCATTATGCTACACTTAATGGTGCAAGAGTGTAATAGCATGTATCAGACAGGAATAAACTTTGGATTTGTAGCTAATGACCTATTCACAGTGAGATTTTTAAATATCTATGGGTACTGGGATAAACAAGTGCATGGTCAGACAGTAACATCATTAATAAGGAAATAAAGGTATAAAAGCAATTTAAGCATGGTAAAGCCAGGGTAAAATGCAACAACCTGGTGACAGCCCACACACGTCACTGCAGGGAAGAATAAGACATACTACTAATGGGGTGTTTTGGTTTGGTTTTTGGTGGGGAGTATTTTCTTGTGTGCGTGTGTGCTTCTGAAGGATTTTTATTCTCCATTGGTATCAAGTCAAAGCGTAAAAAAACCACACCAACAAAACAAACTTTTCCATAACCATTTACTTGAACAGTATGATGTCAGAAGCCTCTACATCACAGATCAAATGTATCTTCAGGTGTACTTCAGCCACACATAAACCAGCGCTGCTGCTAAAATGAACAGACCCACACTGTTGACAACCTTTCCCCATGTGTTGGGATAAGCATTTCAACGGCCTTGCAAAGAACAACTACCCCCTAAAGCCCCTCCACCAATGACAATTCTAACTTAGATCAGTTCTCTGATCTAGTCTCCCAAACACTTGCAGCACAAGGGAGAGAGCAGAACTGTCTTCTGTGGTGGTAGCAATTTGTGTGGGCTTAAAGCACAGATTAAACACAACCTCAAGAACAAGGCAGCGGATTAAGTGGACTATAAATACAACCCAGAATGGAAAGTCCCGTTAACTTCCCATTTCTTGGTTTCTTCATTGAACTCTTCAGCTGGTTAATCGTACAAAGAAGAAAACATGCCTATCAAGTTTATCTACACTTCAGAAGTAAAAAACTACTTACAGGTTAAGCAAGACAGTTGTGTCTCTTTCTTGTTTTTAAAAAATAAATAAATAAAAAGAGAAGCAGGGACAAGCAGATCTCAGCATAGAAAGAACACAACATATAATATGCTCTCAAACTTACTCTCTAATACTTATTTTAGAACAGCACTTCCCCCCTCCCCCCCCCCAAAAATGTTTCCCAATCTCCCATTACTACTGAAACTTAGCAGACTCCTCCAGGCTCTTTTCGTCAACAAGGGAAAAGAGGAATGGCAGTTATGCTGCCATTTGAATTTACTAAACTTTCTAAAAATGCAACTTGGCAGTTCTTCATTTATAAACCGTCACATTTAAGTTACTTCTCATTACTGCACAGAGAAAACTGATCTTAAACCCAGAAATGAACAGAAGAAGAATCATAATTCAATCACATTTGTCTTGTGCCTGAATCCCCTGACAGCCTCCATAATCAGAAGGGGGTTGGGGTTAGGTTGGTTTTTTCCCTTTGTTTTTCAAAGCAGTAGTCTGGTCTGCTTTCTGTTTTCACTTCCTTATGTCCACACATACATAATATATATGCACATGGATACAAAAGAAATGCTGTAGCAATCATTAAATCAGAGAATGAAAAGCATATAAAAATGGAAACAAAGGGCACAAGGTAAAACCACTGATCATCACAGTGAAAGTCTAAGCGCATCTACCAGAACCATCAGTGTTTCTTCTCCATTACTAGACATGGTAATAGTTGATGCAAAAAAGCCAATGTGGCTGAAGGCGGCTTTCTGTTCTATCCATTAAAAAAAACAAAGCACAATTAGTCTGAATGATACATACCACTAACACAGTAACTATGATGTTACACAACAACTGAAGTTAAGTACGTGTGGAAAAAATTAATCTATTTTAAATAGTATGTATGCAATTCACACAACACTGTAACCAAAAACCTTCCACGCAACTCCCATTTTTCCAAAAAGTTTTTTACTTCATAGATCATACTTCAAGACTGGAAGAAAACAGATGTTGTGTCAATGCTTCAGGTTACACCAACAATTACAAGCCTGTTGGCCTGGCCCATGTAGAGCCATACATACCAATACATGCCTCAAGTAAAAAGGAACTAAAAAAATACAGGGTACCTTGATACAACTTTCATATTTAGTCAGGTGGTCCAGTTCGAATGCAAGATAAATTACTATTCTCCATGTGAAGCAGTAACCATCCAAGGAGCTAATTCAGCTTAATCCAGCTCCAAAACAAACTAAATTACATAAAGGCACTCTCAGCACAAAGACATGTATATACATGTTACTAGCAAGAATCTCTTCGTGCATCTTCCTTACAGCCTTCCCATAAGCTGTAAAATCAAACTACCCTAAAATAAATCGGGACAATGTAACATTAGTATGGCTTGTGCTTCATGAATTAAGATTTCAAGTAATATTAGAAATATTAACACTCAATAATTATGCTTATAGTGACTTATTCTCAGTCCGATGCCATTTAATGCTTTTACTGGCAGAGGAGGGGACAAAGAAAGGGCGCAAGACCAGCACTTGCATAGTTCTTAGGTGCCATAAAGGTCAAATATGTCTGGTTAAAAAGTTTTACCACTGGTGGGAACTCATTACAGCATATACAAAATGGTAAGACTAAGTTCAGGACGACAGTAGATTATCAGTAAAAACAATGCCAAAAACACACACCAAAACAATAAAACCCACCAACATACAAACAAGGAAATACTGACCTGTGATTATCTTTACAACTAACCATAACAGTTGTACCACATTTAAATAACGCCCAGTTTTGGCATAACCATTTGAAAATTTTACAAAAATCTCTACGTACAAAAAAGCTGCATATCTACAGTTTTCCTGCATACACAGAAGAGCTATTTCAACTTCTGGCAAATCATGCAAAAATGTATTAAAGGAGATTAACAGCTCAATTCATTTATTTAAAAAAATAAGATTACAGTGATCCGACATAGACATTCAATAATAAACATTCACTTTTGTTTAGCAGAGAAAAATGCATCAAACTCTAGGGGCCAAAAAGTGAGGCTATACAAGCGCACCTCTAAAAAAAAAAGGCAAGTTTTGCAAAGGTTGTTTATCAGTGAACACTAACTGCTACGGCAGACTTTTAGCTATTGCAAGCTTTGCGAACAAGATTTAAGTATTTTACTTAAATACTCTAGTTCAAAA